CAACCCAGCCAGGAGGGGAAGGGGGCCTCCTCTCCTCCACACAGCCAGGAGCCTGATCAAGCTGCAATCCCTAGCAACTCCAGTTTCCCTGGGGATTCCTGGTGGTTGGACTCTTCTCAGCAGAGGTCTGGAGAGGGGTACCCCCCACCCCAGTCTGAGTCCATGACTGCCCCCTTGCCAGGAAATGAAAGGGAGAAGACCACCAGAAGGATTGATCTGTAGCCTCCAGGCAGAAAACACGCAGGAAGTGAAAGTCTGTCCAAGACACACTCTGCAATGAGGAAACCTGGAGTGTGTGATCTCATCATGCAAGGTCTGTTATTGGCCAGGTGGCAGGGTCTCTTATCTACCTGCAGTGATCTAAGGGCAAGGCCTCAGGCCAAACATTTCTTTTCCCCAGCGAGGCCTGAAATTCCACTGTTAGCGCTGGATCTCAGCAAGATCTCAGAGAGAGCTCAACTCCTGAAGTTTGAGTTTTCAACAGTTGAGACGTTAGGAAGCAATGGGCCTTATCACCTGCACCGACAGGTCTGCGTACAGTCTAAGGGGATTCACAGACACCAGGTTAAGAGCCCTGGACAGCATTTACAACTCCTTTGAAAGAAGCAAAGTATTTTTATTTTTTTAGACGGAGTCTTGCTCTGTCACCCAGGCTGGAGTGCAGTGGCACGATCTCGGCTTACTGCAACCTCTGCCACCTGGGTTCAAGCAATTCTCCTGCCCACCTCAGCCTCCTGAGTAGCTGGGACTACAGGTATGTCACCACGCCCAGCTAATTTTTTGTATTTTTTTATAGAGACGGGGTTTCACCATGTTGGCCAGGTTGGTCTCCATTTCCCGACCTCGTGATCTACCCGCCTCAGCCTCCCAAAGTACTGGGATTACAGGCTTTAGCCACCACTGGCAAAATCTTTCGTTAGAGCCCTCTTTAAAGTGCAGATGGCCCTGGGAGGTTCGAATGAAATAATTTTTTCCAGCAGATGCAAGAGATAACCTGAGGCGCTTTAGTGGCAAGGGTTGGGGAAGGAGAGCCTGGGGAGGGGAGGCTCCAGGTGACCCACAGTTTTGCCTAGAACTGGGAAGGAATGTATTGACCCAAGAGGGCTAATCACTCACACTGGTAGAGTGTTTTCAAGAACCTTACAAATTAAGTGCTATCAGTATCCCCATTTGATAGATGAGGAAACCAAGATGGTGGAGATAAACTCACTTAAGCTGTTCAACTAATGGCAGAGCCAGAAGTGAATCCAGGCTGGAGTGCAGTGGTGTGGTCATAGTTCACTGAAACCTCAACCTCCTGTGCTCAAATGATCCTCCTACCTCAGCCTCCAGAGTAGCTGGAACTACAGGCATGCACTGCCATGCCCAGCTAATTAAAAATAATTGGGAGCGGGGAGACAGGGTCTCGCCATGTTGCCCAGACTGGTCTTAAACTCCTAGGCTCAAGTGATCTTCTCACCTCCCATATGGCCTCCCAAAGTGCTGGGATTACAGTTGTGAGCCACCAGGCTGGCTGAGGTATCCCTGTTTGATAGAAGAAAAAACAGAGGCCAGGCAGAGTGGCTCACGCCTGTAATCCCAGCACTTTGGGAGGCCAAGGTAGGCGGATCACTTGAGGTCAGGAGTTTGAGACTGGCCTGGCCAACATGGCAAAACCCCATCTCTACTAAAATACAAAAATTAGCCAGCCATGATGGTGTGTATCTGCAATCCCAGCTACTCAGGAGGCTGAGGCATGAGAATCGCTTGCACCTGGTAGGCAGAGACTGCAGTGAGCCGAGATCACACCATTGCACTCTAGCCTGGGCAACAGAGCAAGACCTGTACCTAAAAAAAAGAAAAAGAGGAAACAGGGAGGCAATTCAGTGCATTTCCAAAGTCACACAGCACCTGTCTTCCACAAGGAGCCCCTCTGTGTTTCCGCCTCACCCTGGACACCTGATCTATTCTCTTTGGAGCTTGGAGAAGGACTTGCCGAGAAGTCTGAAGAGCGCATCAGGCCTGACCTGACTTTGCTGCCCCTAATTGTTTTCTAAAATCCTTTTTATTGAATTATCAGAGTGTAATGGAAGAGTCGATGAGAGTCGCTGCAGAGTTACAAGGCCAAGACTTGCTGGGTAGAAGAAAATAAAGCCCCAAAGGCTCCCTGGGCCCAGCGATGGTATAAAATATGTATTTTTACATAACTGGGAGAAAAAAATAAGCAGACAGTGCAGCCCCATGGGGGCAACGCCTCTTTCTATATTTCCATTATCTTGTTCAAAGCGCCATCCTAGCGGGAAAGGAAATACCAGAGTCTTTTCCCTTTGAGCCTCCTGGTGGGTTAAGAGCAGAGGGAGCCAAGATACAGACATCCAAAAGGCCTGATTAGAAACCCATTACAATTGAGTGGACGGATTGGAGTGGGAGCTGGGCTCCTGGGTTGTCCAAAAATCCTCTGCAGTTGAGAAAGTACCCTCAGTGGGCTCAGAGGCCCCTTTAGCTCTGGTTGAAATATTCCAAACATGCCTTCCCCAGGAGGAAGGGAAATAGGGGGTGGGCCTTTTGAAAGAATAACCCTCACTTCAAATATTTATTGAGCAGCTGCTATGATGAGCCCCGAACTCTGCTTAGTGATTGTTTTTGTATTAACTCATGCCAACTCACTTATACAGAGGATAACACTAACTTCCCCAAGGTCATAGGGCTAGTGAGTGGCTGACTCCACTTAATGCTGTGTAGTTCTGATCATGCTTGGAGAATAAAGGGAAAGGAGGTGTCCTTGTCAGGGTAGACAAACCACCCAGATGTGGCTGGCCACAGGCAGTCAGACAGGGAAGCTGTCTAATCTAACATTTGCCAGTCTATTCTGTTTTTGTTTTTTGATGGAGGATGGTGGGTGCTGGAGTGCTACTGGCCCAGGACCTGAGACCTCTGGCCCCCCATCTATTCTAGTCTCCTAAAATTACTTTACTGGGGACAGAATTCCCTGGACAGGTGGTGGTGGCCATGGTGTGGCTGTGGCATTAAGGGCCCCATTCTGGGGGTCAGGAGATCCTGGGTTCTGATCTTGGCTTTGACATTGACCTGCCTGTGTGACATTGAACAAGTTATTTGCAAATCATAGGTTTGGATGGTCTCTAAAGGTCTCTTCCAAGTCAACATCAAAAAATAGAATAAAAACTGCAGCTCCAGCTGGAGGACTGTCTGGGACCACATGAGATGAAGCTGGTTGTTAGAAGAAAGGCCCTGGAATCAGAGAGGTCAGTTCCAGTCCTGTGCTGCCTCTCATTGGCCTCAATTTTCTAAGCTTCAGTTGCCCATCTATCAAATGGGAATAATAATAATAGCTCTTGGGTTGTTTTGAAATGATTTAAATGAGCTGGTCAGTGGCTATGCAAGATGCCTCATGCTTGTAATCCCAGCACTTTGGGAGGCTGAAGCAGGTGGATCATCTGAGGTCAGGAGTTTGAGACCAGCCTGGCCAAGATGGTGAAACCCCGTCTCTACTAAAAATACAAAAAATAGCTAGTCGTGGTGGCACACGCCTGTAATCCCAGCTACTCAGGAGAATCGCTTGAACTCAAGAGGCGAAGGTTGCAGTGAGCCGAGATCATGCCATTGCACTCCAGCATGAGTGACAGAGCAAGACTGTCTCAAAAAAAAAAAAAAAAAAAAAAAGAGCTGGTCAGTGTCAAATGCTTAGCACAGAGGCTGGCACAATAATCTTTAATGCCCAGCACCTATTGTTACTATTTTTGCCCCTCACATCTGTACAGAGCATTTATGGCTCAAGAAACATTGATTGTTTTAATTGTATGGGAGCCTCATAGGGAGACATTTCCGATCATTATTCCCATTAGGAGGGTGGAGAAACAGGCTTTAGGAGGTGGTCCTGACCTAGGGAATTACTTTGCTGACTCACTAACCCATGGAGCTCTACAGTTAAAGAAGACTAGATTAAAAAATAAGAACTCAATAAAGGGGCTGAAGCAGGAAGATCACCTGAGGTTAGGAATTTGAGACCAGCCTGGGCAATATAGTGAGATCCCATCTCTAGAAGTATTATTATTATTATTTTTTTAATTAGGCTGTTCGAGAACTGGTGCAGTGGCTCACACCTATAATCCCAGCACTTCGGGAGGCTGAGGAGGGTGGATCACCTGAGGTTAGGAGTTCCAGACCAGCCTGGCTAACATAATGAAGACTCGTCTGTAGTAAAAATACAGTTAGCCAGTGTGGTGGCACACACCTGTAGTCCCAGCCACTTGAGAGACTGAGACAGGAGAATCGCTTGAACCTGGCAGGTGGAGGTTGCAGTGAGCCGAGATCGTGCCATTGTACCCCAGCCTGGGCAAGATGGAACCAGACTCCTTCTCAAAAAAAAAAAAAAAAAAAAAAGCTGCTCGCTCAGTGGCTCATGGCTCACACCTGTAATCCCAGCACTTTGTCAGGCCAAGGCAGGAGGATCGCTTCAGTCCAGAAGTTCAAGATCAGGCTAGGCAATACAGGGAGATACAGCGCCCCTACTTCCCCTATCTGCCCAGATTCATCTCCCTACAAAAAGACAAAAAAAAAAGTAGTCTGGCATGGTGGTGTGCACCTGCAGTCCCAGCCACTAGTGAGTCTGAGGCAAGAGGATTGGTTGAGCCCAGGAGTTCGAGGCTGCAGAGAGCTGTGATCGCCCCATTGTACTCCAGCCTGGGTGAAAAAGCGAGACCCCATTTCCAAAACAAACAAAAAGAATTCAGTCAAGTGTAGAAGACCTTTCTGATCCCATGTCTTAGTGAGCACCGGCGGGGCTGGGATTCGAACCCAGTGGATCGATCCCATAACCCATCTAGACCCTAGCAACTCCAGACTGGTGGGTCACCGGTCTGCCGGAGGCCGAGGGGCGGGACCGCGGGCGGGCCGTCATTCCCGCGGCGGAGGGTTCCGTGCTGCTGATTGGCCGCGGCCGGCAGGTGCACCCTCAGCCAATCAGCGGAGCCGGAGGCGGTGCCTCCGAGGCTCACCTGGCGGCCGCCGCGCCGCCCCTCTCAGTGTCGTCGGAGCCTCAAAGCACCTGTGAGCTCGCGAAAGTCCGTTCAGACTCCAGCCCGGCCCAGACCGGCCCGACCCGACCGCACCCGGCCCCCGCCCTTGCTCGGCGTCCCCGGCCGACCATGGGCCCTTCGAGCCGCAGCCACTCCGCGCTGCTTCTGCTGCTGCTGCTGCAGGTACCTCAAGCCCCCGGCCTTGCGAGGGACGCGTTCTGGCTGCACGCTCTGCGCCCCAGCCCCGCGCCCCTTCTTCTCCCGTCGTCGCTGCTTCCCTTCTTCCAAGAAAGTTCGGGTCCCGAGGAGCTTAGCGGCCTGAAGCCTCGCGTGCTCCGGACCCCGCAGTGATGGGAGTGGGGAGGTGGTGAGGGGCGAGCGCTGCTTTGACGCCTGGCCGCGGGCTCCGCGGGGTGGGCTCGGGCGGGCGGTGGGGGCGTGGAGCGGGGTGGAAGGCGGAGTGTGGAGAAGGGGAGCCCCGGTGCAAGTCGAGGGGGAGGCAGGAGAGGTAGGGACGATCCCCGAGGGAGGGAGAGGGGCATCCGTAGAAAAAAACGCACCTGCCATGCGAAGAAAGGTTGTAAATAGGAGTGGGGGTCCAAGGGGTAAGAAAGTGGAGTCGGAGGAGGTGGGAGCGCCTCTTGCTCTGAGGACTAGCGCGTTCGCGGTCTAAGGAAAGTGGGGTTGAGAAGAATGAAGACATCTCCAGTAAAATGAGAAAAGAGACCGGAAGGAAAGGTGGGCTAGGTCTAGCGGGAGTGACCCGGCGCCCCCCACTTCGAGAGTTCCTGGGGGCTTGGCCGCCGCGGGTTTCGGGGTAGGGGAGGGTGACGTCGCTGCCCGCCGGGGGCTGGAGGCGGGGGTCCTCCCCAAATCCCGGCGCCAGAAGCGAGGGAGGGGCGCGGCGCTGTTGGTTTCGGTGTGAGCCGGAGGGGACCCTCCGAGTCACCCAGTTCCATCTACCTTTCCCCCCACCCCAGGTCTCGTATAGGGTCTGCCAAGAGCCGGAGTCCTGCCACCCCGGCTTTGATTCCGAGAGCTACACATTCACGGTGCCTCGGCGGCACCTGGAGAGAGGCCGCGTCCTGGGCAGAGGTGAGGGCGCGCCGCCGGTGTCCATGGGCGGAGTGGGGTGGGGTTGGAAAGGGGCCGAGAAACTGCACTCCCACGCCCCTGGGTTGGAATGGGCAAGCTCCCTTCTTGGCTCAACCGACACCCCTTTGGAATTTACACAGATTTGGGGATCCAAATGTTTATGACTGAGCACTGTGGTGGAGAGGGTAGCCCTGCCTGGTTGTTAACTATGTAATAAAGAAGCAGAGGTTGAGGGCATTTACTAGAAGCCTTCGTGTTTCTCTTATTGCCCTGAGGCACTGTAGAGATAGTGTCTCATTTCAGACTGCAAAAACCTGCTGGGTGTGAAGGCCCGGCGGGAATATTCCCATTTTACAGATGAGCAAACCGAGGCTCAGAGGGTGACAAAGCAGGTATCTGAACTGGGATCTGACTACCACGCTCCATTAAGCACCATCTCTGGAATGACTGAATAGCAACCCTCTCCTGGTTACTGGGCTGGAGCTTTTGTTTATACAGATTAAAGCTTTCTTTTTTAAAGACAGGGTCTTGCTCTGTTGCCCAGGCTGGAGTGCAGTGGTGCAATCATATAGCTTACTGCAGCCTCCATCCTCTGGGCTCAAGTGATCTTTCCCACCTCAGCCTCCCTAGTAGCTGGTATTACAGGCATGTGCCACCATGCCTGGCTAATTTATTATTATTATTATTATTATTTTTAAGATGGAGTTTCACCATGACAGCCAGGCTGGTCTTGAACTCCTGACCTCAGGTGATCCACCCACCTCAGCCTCCCAAAGTGCTAGGATTACAGGTGTAAGCCACAGCGCCCAGCCAATTTAAAACATTTTTTTAGGGTTGGCATGGTGGCTCACGCTTGTAATCCCAGCACTTTGGGGGGCCAAGGCAGGCAGAGTCAGGAGTCAAGTGGGCAGAGTCAATGAGGTTAGGAGTTCCAGACTAGCCTGGCCAACATGGTGAACCCTGTCTCTACTAAAAAAATACAAAAATTAGCTGGACACGGTGGCATGTACCTGTAATCCCAGCTATTCGGGAGGCTGAGGCAGGAGAATTGCTTGAACCCAGGAGGCGGAGGTTGCAGTGAGCTGAGATGGGACCACTGCACTCCAGCCTGGGTGACAGAGCAAGACTCCATCTCATAAAATAAAATTTCTTTTAGAGACAGGAATCTCCTCATGTTGCCCAGGCTGGTGTGGAACTCTTAGGCTCAAGAGATCCTTCTGTCTCAGCTTTCCAGAGTGCTGGGATTGCAGACCTGAGACACTGTGCCTGGACTGAAACTTCTTGATACAGATCCTATTTCTCCCAAGGAAGAATGTTTTTTTGTCATATATGTATGTATGTATATATATATATATATATATATATATATATATATATATTTTTTTTTTTTTTTTTTTTTTTAAGACGAAGTTTCACTGTTGTTGCCCAGCCTGGAGTACAGTGGCATGATGTCTGCTCACTGCAACCTCTGCCTCCTGGGTTCAAGCGATTCTCCTGCCTCAGCCTCCTGAACAGCTGGGATTACAGGCACCTGCCACTGCACCCAGCTAATTTTTGTATTTTTAGTACAGACGGGGTTTCATCATGTTGGCCAGACTGGTCTCGAACTCCTGACCTCAGGTAATCCACCTGCCTCTACCTCCCAAAGTGCTGGGATTATAGGCACAAGCCACCGTGGCCAGCCAGGAATAATGATATTTTTTAAAAGGCATGGAAGTTCTGACTCAGGATAAAAATGCATACAAACATCCAATGTACTTCTAGGCCTTATCGTTGTGATAATCTAGAGTTTGCTTTGTTCCGCTTGACTGTTGTCCAGGGAACAAGGAAAGGGGCTAGTTTCTCTTCTGGTTTCACTGAATCCCAGGTGCTTACTTTATATCAAACTACTTTCTCCTCTCTCATGATTTTAGTTGACTGAGCGAGTATCACAATAAAATACATTTTTAAAGAGAAATCACCCACATTTTCCCTGACGGAACACCTCCACTGTGTCTGTTCTTCCAGTCTTTAGCCACGTGAATCTTTTTTTTTTCCGCCCCAAAACTCCTGAGAATATGCCAAGTAATGGCCACATGGATCTTTAGCAATTGTGCTGTTGTTTTAAATTTATTTTGAACTTTGGAAGTCGTTTGAATAGTGGGTGGCAGTTTTTTTTTTTTGTTTTTTTTTTTTGAGAGTTTCACTTTTGTTGCCAGGCTGGAGTGCAATGACCTGATCTCGGCTCACCACAACCTCTAACTCCCAGGTTCAAGCAATTCTCCTGTCTTTGCCTCCTGAGTAGCTAGCATTACAGGCACGTACCACCATGCCCTGCTAATTTTTTATTTTATTTTTTTAATAGAGATGGGGTTTCTCCATGTTGATCAGGTTGGTCTTGAACTCCCCACCTCAGGTGATCTGCCTGCCTCAGCCTCCCAAAGTGCTGAGATTACAGGCATGAGTCTGGGTGGTGGTCTTTACAGAGCAGCTACAGCTTGATTGATGAAGTATATTTGCTCTGTGTGCTCTAGAGCTTTCTATTGGATCAGAAGTTGCCTCAGACTCCTGGGCTCAAGTGATTCACCTGCCCTGGCCTTGCGAAGTGCTGGGGTTACAGATGTGAACCATTGCGCAGCCTTGGATATTTTGATGTCAATAGGCATTGAGGATTGGCTTCTCTGGGGAGGCAAATTTGATCCAACCTTGGAGAGCAAGGCAGGGGCTAGAAACAAGCTTGTATCTGAGCGTGCATTTGGGGTGTCCCAGTGCTAAGGCTGTTGACTTTATTTTCCTGCACAAAGATAGTTGGTAGCACCGAGGGTGGGTTGGTCTGGTTTTTATTTCTCCCTTCTAAGCTCCTGTGTCTGACCAATAATAATATTATTACATATTAATATTAATGTTTTAATAATTCAATAGTGACACGTCTTCACTTTTGCCTCAGACTCTGGGGCAAGTGCTTCACATATTTTACCTCATTTAGTCTTCACTAGAGCATTAGGACGGTGGGCACTATTCTTCCTACCTTGTAAGTGAGGAAACTCAGGCATAAAGGAATTCCGTAATCTGCTGAAGGATCTACAGTTGGTCTTTTCTCTTCCTTTTTCTCCTTGTTTTTCACCTCAACAATCTGAAAAAACAAAAACAAAAAAGGTGTTTGGGGAATTAGTGTCCCATGAAGTAAGCTGAGGATGGAGGTGTTGATAGGGTGGGGCCTCCAAGAGGGGCTAGTGATGATGGAGATGGGTCAGTCCAGGTGGGAGGTGGCAGCGGACCCTGGGGCTGATGGTTTCGTGGGAAGAGGCTGCCTCCACACAGAATCCGCAGGCCGCTGGTGTGGTTGGTTTTAGTTCCCTTTATGTTCACAGATCCCCACTCCCACACAACAGATTTCGGGACATTGAATATATATATATATATATTTTTGGCTTTTTTGGACTGTGGGATCTACTTGTACCGGTCCAATGTGGAATTGCCCCAGGATGGAAGTGTCCTGGTAAAAATCACACATTCCATCTCAGGAACTGGCTTGTGATTTTAAAAGGCAGCTAGGATTTTGGATGTGGCCTAGCTCTCCTCGGACAGTGCAAGAAAATGAAGGGATGGATATAACATTGGCACCAGGTTTAGACATTGGCTTCATGGAGAATTTACTCTGTGGGAATTTTGAAACTTGAAACCTGTCACTTTTTGTGCACGGGTAACTGTAGGGTCTTTGTCATTTTTATTTTTTGAGATTAAGCCTCACTCTGTCATCTAGGCTGGATCTTGGCTCACTGCAACTTCTGCCTCCCAGATTCAAGTGATTCTCCTGCCTCAGCCTCCGGAGTAGCTGTGATCACAGGCGTGTGCCACCACACCCAGCTAATTTTTGGTATTTTTAGTAGAGACAAGTTTCACCATGTTGGCTAGGCTGGTCTAGAACTCCTGACCTCAGGTGATCCACCTGTCTCAGCCTCCCAAAGTGCTGAGATTACGGGCATGAGCCACAGTGCCTGGCCAGCCGTAGGGTCTTAACTGAACTCAGGGGACTTTGTAGTGGTTTGCTAGGGTCAGTCTCTGCCCCATTCCATGGCTGACCCCACGATCTCAACCTTATATTTATTCCATTGGTTCCTCTCCAGCTTCTAGAATGAAGATCGTTAAAAGAAACAAAAAAACTCAACTGTAATAAACCAGTTCTTTAGAGTTGCTGCATATTTTCCATCCTCTTAGCACACATTGGTTTGAGAAACCCAGGTTGTTAGACAGCTTGAGATCTCGGCAGTATTAGCCTAGTGAGCACAACTGTAAGTTGATTCAGGGGTGGAAAAAAGCTGGCAGGCTTTCCAGTGATTGAGTTCTTCCCTTGCTTACTCTACAATCTGGCCTTGGGAACACAGGGCCTGTATTTCAGGGTTGAGCTTTGGCTGCTTGAGGGGTTGACCTACTTCACAAGCACCCACCTGTGTGGATTAAATACACCCATTTCCCTTTTTTTTTTTTCTTTTTTGAGACAGAGTCTTCCTCTGTCACCCAGACTGGAGGGCAGTGACATGATCTCGACTCACTGCAACCTCCACCTTGTGGGTTTCAGCGATTCTGGCTTAGCCTTCTGAGTAGCTGGGACCTACAGGTATGCACTGCCATACCCAACTAATTTTTGTATTTTCAGTGGAGATTGGGGTTTCACCATGTTGGCCAGTCTGGTCTTGAACTCCTGGCCTCAGGTGATCTGCCTGCCTTGGCCTCCCAAAGTGCTGGGATTATAGGCATGAGCCACCGGGCCCGGCAGTTTCTTTCTCCTTTCTAAAGTACCTGTTGAAAGGTGCAGAAGACAGTATGCAGGCCCCCTAATACAATTAGGCTTTTAAAAAGCAAAACTGGAAATCAGCTTTGAGATCACCTTACATCATCAGATCGCCACTCCCCCGCCCCTCAAACTCTTAACAGTCATTTCACCAATTACTCATGTCTGTGACAAAGGTTGATCTGAGCTTACTGGGAAATGAGACCAGTGGGGCACCCTCCTGGCCTTG